GTTCTCTGCTCCTGTTCCTGAGGAGCCAGTAGATCCCAGTGGTCCTTATGCAGAGCTGGTGGGTTGCCTCATGTACATGATGACTTGCACTCGTCCAGATCTTGCATACCCTCTCAGCATCCTGGCTCGCTTTGTGGCCACTGGCAGACACCGACCACAGCACTGGTCGGCCGCTAAGAGGGTTTTGCGTTATTTTGCAAGTACATTGGGCATGGAGCTAGTGCTTCGAGGACGCAGGCTAGTGGTCCTTACTGGGCACACATACGCTTCTTGGGCAGAAGATGCAGAGACTCTCAGGTCGTCCCAGGGCTACTACTTTAGCCTTGGCTCGGGTTCGATCTCGTGGAGGTCCAACCGCTCGTCGTCTGTTGCTTAGTCTAGCTGTGAGGCTGAGATCTACGCCAGTGCCATGGCGGCACAGGAGCTCCGCTGGCTGACCTTCTTGCTCACCAACTTAGGTGAGCAACCTAGCTGTGCCTCGGTCTTGTACGCTGACAACAGGGCCATGATTCTCGTGTGTCAGGAGCCTCGACTTGAGGGCAGAGCAAAGCCCATCCAGCTACGGTACTTCCTCCTGCGCCAGCTACAGCAGGGTCGCCAAGCCTGCCTAGTACACTTGGCCTCCGGTGCCAACACAGCTGATATCTTTACGAAGGCCCTTGCGCCTAAAGATCATCAGCGGCAGTGTTTGCAGCTTGGTTTAGTTCCTATTGCTACTCACTTGGTAGGACCTTTATTGTGTACTCCTCTTTATGTATACCTTTTTGACTGGCCTTGTGTTTTCGCTTCCAGTGGCTGGACTAGTAGTGCCTTTCTGAAGTGCGTGTTCCTTGCTCTACAGTGCCCCTTATCTAGCCTAGGGGATGTGTCAACTTATACATATATTCATATGTAGAAGTTATAGGCTAGCTAGAGTTGTGCTCTTAGAGAGTACATCACAACCCCATACATCTGATGTACTCTCATCTTTCTAATTATTCAGGTATCTTAATAGTCTACACCAGCTCGGTCAACCCCTCGGCGTGTAAGGCGGCGCCGTCAATAGCAAGGGCAGCGGCTTCAACGGCGGCAGCGTCGACAGCGGCGGCAGCGTGTGATGGCAAGGCCAGCGGCATCAGCTGCGGCGGCGGCGGCTTTCACGACAGCTGCCGGCGGCCCCGGAGCTCGCAACACCCGGCGACGTGACCGGGCTCCGCGACGGTGGGACGGCGAGTTAGCCATCGGCTGCGGCAAGGAAGAGGGGACGTAGGGAAAGGGGGGGGAACGGGGCTTCAGCAGCACGCCCGTGGCTGGCATGCGGGCGTCAGGACTGGCAGCAGCTAAAACGTCGTGCGGCCTGCCGCCGCCCGTCGACGCCGCCACTGCAGCATAACGACGTCGCCACAATGCGGCATCAATGCCGTGGCAAGACGTTGATGCTAGGACGGCAGCACGACGCCATCGCCGCGGTGTGGCGTCGACGCCACGCGTCGGGGCTGCGACGGCAGCACCACGACGCCGCGACGGCAGCTCGGCATGGATGCAACGGCGGCACTAAAGTACGCGGCGGAAGCGTGATAAGCAGGCCCAGGAAGAGGAACCTGCTCTGAAACCATGTTAAGATACTAGAATAGGTATGACGCCATGAAAGGCGAGAGGGTTTAGGCTAGGAGACCAAAAGATGCGAGAAGAAAGAGAGTGAGACTACAAAGAGAGAGGGATACAAGGAGGGGATTGTACCCTCTGTTAAAGCTAGAATACTAGGCAAGGAGGGAAGCCATGGCTATGGCGAGAGGGTTTTAGGCTAGGAGAGAAAGTTACGAGAAGAAAAGAGATCGGGAATAGAAGAGAGAGGGATACAACGAGGGGGTTGTACCCTCTACAGTAGGTTTCAGTAACACCTACCAAGCCTACCATTATATATAGCAAATATATACAGTGGCGGAATAAATTGTCCACATGTTCAGCCTTTTTTGGCATTTTGATGAGTGCAGCGGCGTAAACCTTAAGCCTTAATGTATGGTGTGCATACACGTTGAGAAGATCAGTTAGAGCACTCACTCGAGTTGCCAAACACCAAAGTAGTACCACACATGGTCCTTAAACACCTAAGTATAGCATAGGATAACATCCAGACAATTTGTACCGAAGACCGGTAGCATACTAGATTCTAGGAAAACTAGTACCTAGACCAGCGTCCCTTTGCCCGAATCACTGCCTTGATCCTCCTCGGCAGGCTGTCGATCAGGTTTGCACACACCTCCGCCGGTATCTTGTCCCATTCCTCCTGCACCCTCTCCCACAGCTCCAGCATTCCACTTGGCGGCTTTTCGTACTTCCCCAGCTGCCTTTTCAAGTGTGCCCACAGGTGCTCAATCGGGTTAAGGTCCGGGGAGCATGGCGGCCATTCCAGCACCGCGTACTTTTGCTCCCCAAGCCAGTCTTGGACCAGACGAGACCTGTGCTTGGGATCATTGTCGTGCTGGAAAATGACCTCTGAGGGGGAAAGCTTGAAAAAATCGATGGTATGTTTGAGCTCATCTTGCAAGATGCTGCGATACAGCAGCCCATCCATCCTGCCATCTATCTTGCATATGAACCCCGCCCCCTCATACGTCATGCAATCCCACACCATCACAGAACCGCCCCCATGCTTAACTATCTGTTGGACTTGATGGCTCCGAAGGCTGGTGCCCTCGCGAATCCAGGCGTACGCACGTCCGTCGGAGCAGTAGCGGTTTATCTTTGTCTCGTCAGACCAAATCACCCGCTTCCAGTCCTCCAGCGTCCAGTCGGCATGCGACCGCGCGAAGTCGAGACGATCTCGGATGTTTTTCGGTGAGAGCCTGGGTTTCTTGGGCTGATGCACGGCGATCAGCCCCGCGGATCGTAATGAGTTCCTGACCGTCTTCGAGTCTACGGTGAGATCGTGCTTCTCCAACAACATATTTGCCGCGTCTACAGAGCTTTTTGCCTCGCCGCTTGTAATCGCGCGTATTATTCCGCGCTGGAGACGGGTAGTGATTAAGCGGGGGCGGCCGGCCGAAGGCATCGTAGGTCGCACCTCCTCGAGACTAGTCTCGGCAGCCACTTTCAAACCGTAATCGTGCACGGTGCTTTTGTCTATGCCAAGAACTTTGCCTATTTTCCTAGTCGAATGCCCCGCACGCAACATGCTTATGATTCGCGCGCGCTTTCGCTCATTTAACAGCTTCATGGCGATGCGGTCGTAGGCTCGCTTCCGGACTAACTCCTAAGCCAGCAACTGTTGCGCGTGACGATGTACACACCGAGTGACGGGGGAAAATAGATCTACTCTTCCGCTCGGTAGGAAATGTCCGCATCGATAGTCGAGGAGTAAATTTCAACCCCACTTTCCGGTTGTGTCACAATCGCGCCAAGCAAGAAACGGTTGAAGCAGAACTCGAAAACCTTGTAACGGAATGGCAAAAAACGGGTGGTACTATTTTCGAAACATGTGTGGCATAGCGATACGTTTCAAAGTTTTAAACATCCGGGCGATTTATTCCGCCACTGTAATTTAACACACCCCCTAGGCTTGGTAGCCGAAAGCACACCACACACCCCCTAAGCTTAGCACCCCCATACTCAGCAGCAGCGACAGCTACTCCAGCTTGGTCAACCCCTCGGCGGGGGAGGCGGCGACGTCGACAGCGAGGGCAGCGGCTACAACGGCGGCGTCGTGGCCCCAATGCAAGCGGCGATAGCTGCGGTGGCGGCGGCTTCGATGACAGCGGCCGGCGGCGGCGGAGCTCGCAGCACTCGGCGGCATGGTTGGGCTCCGCGACGGTGGGACGGCCGGCGGGAGTCAGCCGTCGGCTGCGGCGAGGAAGAGGGGACTCAGGGAAAGGGGGGGGGGGCGTGGTCCAGCATCACGCCTGTGGCTGGCGTGCGGGCGGCAGGTCTGGCGGACGTTGCGCGGCCGGCTGCCACCCGACGACGACGCCACTGCACCATTACGACGCCGCCATATCACGGTGTCGATGCCGTGTCGGCGAGTCGGAGCTGCGACGGCAGCACCACGAAGCCGCCATGGCAGCTCGGAAAGGCCGCCACAACGGCACAGAAATGGCGACAGAAAAAAAAAAAAAAAAAAAAAAAAAAAACACACACACACACATACACATACATACACACACACACACACACACACACACACACACACACACACACACACACACACACCACACACACACACACACACACACACTCACACACACACATGAGTACGCGGCGGAAGCCTGGGGAGCAGGCCCTGGAAGGGCAACCTGCTCTGATACCATGTTAAAGCTAAAATACTAGGCAAGGAGAGAAACCGTGGCTATGGCAAGAGGGTTTTATGCTAGGAGAGAAAGTTACGAGAAGAGAAGAGACCGAGAATAAAAGAAAGAGGGATACAGGGAGGGGGTTGTACCCTTTATTGTAGGTTTCAGTAACACCTACAAAGCCTACCATTATATATATCAAATATATAATTTAATACCTTCTACAGTAGGTTTTAGTAACATCTACCAAGCCTACAATTATATAGAACATATATAATTTAACAGAGACAATATGTTGGCTGGCTGTGCTCGAGTCCAGCGCTGTGCCAGCAATCAGTCACCGAGGTCGCTTCCCAGCCTACCGAAAGTCATAGCAATGTCTTGCTTTTAGGAGAATCTGCCAATGACTGGTCTGAGGGTTTGGTGGTATGCTGGCCGTGTTCTTAAGCCTGGCGCTATGCCAGGAACTGTCACTGATGCGAGTGGTCTTCCAGCTAGCTCAAAGAACTGGCGGAAATCACATATATTTTTTATCATATATTTATCGAGATGGAGTTGATGGTATGTGTGAGTTATGGATGAGGCGGACATCTAGTTAGCCCATATTTTGTCAAATTCTTGTCATAAATGTTGAAGTGTAATAAAGAAGCAAAGGTGTACGAGGATACCAGTTCTGGAGTTCAATCATAGATAGACCTTGGGAGTGCCAAGGAGAGAGCTAGCAGAATCTTGAACAGCACAGCCAGTCCTTTCGTGCACCTCTTGCGCCGCCAGCTTTAGTAGTCTCACCTCGTATATTGAGTTGTACTCTTCGGGTGCCTGGACTCGACTTCCCCCCCCCCCCCCCGCATAGTCCGCATAGCTCGGCTCTGTTAGTTACTTCCGGGGTTTCGGAATGGCATTGCGAACGTGTCTGGTTCAGAGAGTATTGAGGTTGATTTTAGATCGCTGAAGCCTACCTCTACTCTGTGATTATTGTCGTGCTAGTCGCTGCTGACCATTGTACGAGCATCTGCTCGCCACTCCACCTAACGACCTCGAACTGTCCGAGTCTAAGTGTATGCAGTGTTTTTTTTTCCCTCTACTTTGATTTTCCCTCAAGAGCTTTCGCTCGACTGTGGTTACATTGTGGTAACCGTCGGCTCTTGTAGGAAAATATTGACGGGCCCATTCAAAATTAGGGTTACATTTAGTATCCGCAGCTCTCAATGGACTTTTTAACGAGGATAAAGTCACCCTGACTCAGCACGCGTTACCTAGCTCGCAAACGATCCCTAGTACGCGTTAGAGTAGGTCGCGTTTCTCGCCATGGCAGCGGAGCAGGGACTGCCGAGTCCCGGCATTCGGTTGGCGGATCCCGCCGCGCTTCTAACGCATATCGAGGTCCCCAACCAGGTGAGAAGATCCTCATTTGGCCGTGAACGCCTCAATGCATGTCGCAAGGAATGCAGAACCTGCCGCTGCCACGCTTCTAACGCATATCGAGGTCCCCAACCAGGTGAGAAGATTCTCATTTGGGCTTGAACGTCCCTTGCGGCCGAGTCCTTGAACGTCGCACGGACTGCAGAACCAGACCCTTCCGCATTTCTATCGCGTATCGCTGTTTGGCTGGTACGGAAGTTAAGAAAGCCACCCTTTGTCAATATCGCATTGTGTCAATGTCCGTGCCGCCTCATCAATGACTTTTTAGTCGACACAAAACTCATCCGAATCTAATCAACGTCCATGCCATTTATTGCGTTTTCTTCCGCATACTCCGGCCGCTTCTAAGCTATGTACGTCAGTTTTGTCTTTCCTCATTTTCCGCCGTTCACCTTTCTCCCCTTCTTTTGGTTCGACTCAAAGCATTCCGCCCTTTTTTCTTTCTCCCCTCCACCAATACTCCCCATACTGTTGTTGCAGGTCAAGGATGTCATAATGGACGGTCCAGATCGCAACAGCGACGCCTACTACACGTATTTGGACGCCGTGGATCGGCTGAACGGTGCAGTGCGGTTCATAGAGGAGGAGTTGCGGAACGGGCGGTACCTGATCGCCAAGGCCATGGAGAACGTCAAGGCGGACTTTCACGGGCTGCTGGCAGACAGCAGGTGAGGGTTCCGGCTGGAGTAGGTAGGTTAAGTGTTCTAAAGTGCCGCTTATCCCTGCTGGCAAGAGGAGGAGCTGCGGACCGGACGGAACCTGATCGCCCTGGCCATGGAGAATGTTGAGCCTGATTTCCATGGGCTTCTCGGTGGCGGAGAGCAGGTGAGTAATGGCGCATGAGGGGTGAGGGGTGGCGGAGAGCAGGTGAGTAATGGCGCATGAGGGGTGAGGGGTGGCGGCGAGCAGGTGAGTAATGGCGCATGAGGGGTGAGGGGTGGCGGAGAGCAGGTGAGTAATGGCGCATGAGGGGTGAGGGGTGGCGGAGAGCAGGTGAGTAATGGCGCATGAGGGGTGAGGGGTGGCGGAGAGCAGGTGAGTAATGGCGCATGAGGGGTGAGGGGTGGCGGAGAGCAGGTGAGTAATGGCGCATGAGGGGTGAGGGGTGGCGGAGAGCAGGTGAGTAATGGCGCATGAGGGGTGAGGGGTGGCGGAGAGCAGGTGAGTAATGGCGCATGAGGGGTGAGGGGTGGCGGAGAGCAGGTGAGTAATGGCGCATGAGGGGTGAGGGGTGGCGGATAGCAGGTGAGTAATGGCGCATGAGGGGTGAGGGGTGGCGGCGAGCAGGTGAGTAATGGCGCATGAGGGGTGAGGGGTGGCGGAGAGCAGGTGAGTAATGGCGCATGAGGGGTGAGGGGTGGCGGCGAGCAGGTGAGTAATGGCGCATGAGGGGTGAGGGGTGGCGGATAGCAGGTGAGTAATGGCGCATGAGGGGTGAGGGGTGGCGGAGAGCAGGTGAGTAATGGCGCATGAGGGGTGAGGGGTGGCGGAGAGCAGGTGAGTAATGGCGCATGAGGGGTGAGGGGTGGCGGAGAGCAGGTGAGTAATGGCGCATGAGGGGTGAGGGGTGGCGGAGAGCAGGTGAGTAATGGCGCATGAGGGGTGAGGGGTGGCGGAGAGCAGGTGAGTAATGGCGCATGAGGGGTGAGGGGTGGCGGAGAGCAGGTGAGTAATGGCGCATGAGGGGTGAGGGGTGGCGGAGAGCAGGTGAGTAATGGCGCATGAGGGGTGAGGGGTGGCGGCGAGCAGGTGAGTAATGGCGCATGAGGGTGAGGGGTGGGTGGGGTTGGATGGTTGAATGTGGCAGGAGCTTCATTTGGCAGCAATGCTGGCAAATAGGAGGGGAGAGGCTTCCAGTTTGCTTTGAACTGCATCCCTCTGCTACCCCTGCCACTCCCCTGCCACTCCCCTGCCACTCTTCTGCCACTCCATGCCTCCCGTTTGGCTATACCCCGCAAATCTCTTTCGGCACCTGGACGAGCTACGGGAGGAGATGTCTCTATCCTTTTGCGTCAGCAATACCCTTTGGTTTTGAGATGCTTTCTCTCTTCACACCCCTTCTGCCTGACTGGTCCCAGGCCTTGACGACCTGCGGAGGGCGATTCTCTCCAAGGAGATGTCCCTATCCCGTTGCGTCACCAATACCCTTTGGCTTCTCCCTTCACACCCCTTTTGCCACTCTCTTCCCGGGCCTGGACGAGCTGCGAGATGCGATGCTGGCTGGGGATGTTTCCACTCCTTTTATTTTCCATGACCAATGCCTCTTGGCATCGAGACTCTCTCTTCACCCCCCTTATGCCAGTCTGGTCCCGGGCCTGGACGAGCTACAGGAGGCGATGCTTTTAGAGGTGATGACTCAATGATTCGCCGCTCCCTGGTGCGCCACCACCACCATTTCGCTGCCAAACCCCCTGCCAATCCCTTTACACCCCCTATGCCCCACCCACCAGTCTCTTTCCGGACCTGGACGAGCTTCGGGAGGCGATGCTGTCAGAGGAGTCACCGGACCAGATAACGCCCCCAGAGATGATTGCCGAGGCTGCGCTGCCGAAGCTGCATGCCATGGCTCGTCGGCTGGTGGAGAACGGATGTGCTTCGGACTGCACGCGCGCTTACAAGTAGGTAGTTGGGTGTGTAGGGCGGAAGGGCTGCTGGAAGTCTATTATGAGTGGATGACAATGGCAGCCATCCACAGCATACCACACCACACCCCCCTTCCCCAGTTCTTCCCCATCCCCGTTTCCTTTCAAATAGGGAGAGACGGGAGGCAGCCTTGAGGAGGAGCTTTCAGGGACTGGGCTGGGAGCGAGTGCTGCAGGCAATGGCCAAGGCACAGATCCACTTTTGAGTTGACTCAAAAACTTCTGAGTCTGCTTCTGAGTCTGCTTTTGAGTCTCGTTTTGTTTTGAGTAGTCTCAAAAGCAGCTGGGCTGGGAGTGCTGCGGGCAATGACCAAGGCGCAGATCCACTTTTGAGTCGACTCAAAAAGCTTTTGAGTTTGCTTTTGGGTCTGCTTTTGAGAAGGCGCAGATCCACAGCACCCCGTGGCTCCCTTAGTCCTTGGACAGCTTTCCCCTTCGTTTCTAAACAGGGAGAAGCGGGAGGCAGCGTTGAGGCGGAATTTTCAACGGCTAGGGGTGGGGGTTCAGACAATGACCAAAGCAGAGATCCACGGCACCCCATGCTATGCTCCCCTCCCCCCTCCTCGCACTGCCCCCCTTCCGCCTCCTCACGCTGCCCCCTTCCCCCTCCTCACACTGCCCCCTTCCCCCTCCTCACACTGCCCCCTCCCCCCTCCTCACGCTGCCCCCTCCCCCCTCCTCGCACTGCCCCCCTTCCCCCTCCTCACGCTGCCCCCTTCCCCCTCCTCACACTGCCCCCTTCCCCCTCCTCACACTGCCCCCTCCCCCCTCCTCACACTGCCCCCTTCCCCCTCCTCACACTGCCCCCTCCCCCCTCCTCACGCTGCCCCCTCCCCCCTCCTCGCACTTCCCCCTTACCCCTCGCCCTTATACAGAAAGAAGCGGGAGGCAGCGTTGAGGCGGAATTTCCAACGGCTGGGCGTCCAGACAATGACCAAGGCGGAGATCCACAGCACGCCATGGCCCCCTTTGTCCTCCTCACCTCCTCACACTGCCCCCTTGCCCTTCCCCTCAAACAGGGAGAAACGGGAGGCAGAACTGAGAAGGAACTTCCAACGGCTGGGGGTGCAGACGATGACCAAGGCAGAGATCCACAGCACGCCATGGCCCCCTTAGTCGTCCTCCCCCGCCCCTTTTCCCCTCTCCCTTGTACAGGGAGAAGCGGGAGGCAGCGCTTAGAAGGAATTTCCAACGGCTGGGGGTGCAGACGATGACCAAGGCAGAGATCCACAGCATGCCATGGCCCCCTTTGTTGTCCTGCCCCACCCCTTTTCCCCTCGCCCTTGTACAGGGAGAAACGGGAGGCAGCGCTTAGAAGGAATTTCCAGCGGCTGGGGGTGCAGACGATGACCAAGGCGGAGATCCACAGCACCCCATGGCCGCAGCTGGAGGAGCGGATGAGGCGGTGGAGCGAACACATGCACATTGGGGTACGGTGAATGTAGACACATGCACATTGGGGTACGGTGAATGTAGACACATGCACATTGGGGTACGGTGAATGTAGACACATGCACATTGGGGTACGGTGAATGTAGACACATGCACATTGGGGTACGGTGAATGTGGACACATGCACATTGTGGTATGGTGAATGTGGACACATGCACATTGGGGTACGGTGAATGTGGACACATGCACATAGGGGTGAGCGGGGGGACGCTTGCACATAAGGGTGAGTGGCGACGAGGGAAGAGGAGGGGAGAGAGACGAGGAGCGAGGAGAGGATGTGGCGGAGGAGCGAACGCATGCACATAGGAGTGAGTGAGGAGGGGTGGGTAGAGGAGAGGGAGGGGAGGAGAAAGCACATGCAGTTTGGGGAATGGGGGATGTGAGTGCGGACACATGCACTTGGGGTATGTAAGATGCGCACGCACATCTGGCTGAACATGCCTCTCTTCCGCCCTACCCCTCATCCCATGCTTTTCCCACCATCCACCCTCCCCCCCTCCCCACCAAACGGCCCTCCCCCTCCCTTCCCTCCCCCCCTCACACACATACCAGATGATATTGGTAATAGGCGAACGGGAGGCGTGCGACGAGGTGTTTGACAGGCTGGAGCCGTGCGGCGAGCAGTGCTTTGTGGACCTCTCGCGCTCGTCCATGCTGCTGCCACGTGCTCCCTGCTTCTAATCCCCTCTATTTCAGATGATTCTGGTGGCAGGCGAACGGGATGCATGTGACGAGGTGTTTGACGGGCTGGAGCCGTGCGGCGAGCAGTGCTTTGTGGACATCTCGCGCTCCTTCATGCTGCTGCCACCTGCTCCCTGCTTCCAACTCCTTCTCCCTCATTCCTCTCCCCTCTCCCTCCTTATCCCCTCATTCCACTCCCCTCTCCTTCCTATCCCCGCTCCCTCCCCCTCCCCCCCAGATGATTCTGGTGGCAGGCGAACGGGAGGCATGTGACGAGGTGTTTGACGGGTTGGAGCCGTGCGGCGAGCAGTGCTTCGTGGACCTCTCGCGCTCCTCCATGCTGCTGCTGGCGGGGTTCGGCGAGGCAGTGAGCGAGATCAAGAAGACGCCCGAGCGGCTCTTCTCCTTCCTCGACATGTACGAGACAACCCTCGACCTCAAGTGCACGGTGAGTAAAGGGCTCCCTCTCCCCTTACATTCTTCTCTCTTCTCTCTCTTCTCTTTCTTCTCCCTCTTCTCTCTCTTCTCCTTCCTCGACATGTACGAGATGACCATCGACCTCAAATGCACGGTGAGCGCTGTGCTGACTCAAGTCAACGCTAGTTTATGGTGCATTGTCTAATGAAGAAGACGCCCGACCTCAAATACGAGCGGCTCTTCTCCTTCCTCGACATGTATGCGACGACGCTCGACCTCAAGTGCACGGTGCGTCTTCGAGTGCTGTGGCGCCCTAGAAAGGAAAATTCTCCCTCTCCTCTCCTCTATTCTCTCTTCTCCTTCCTTGACATGTATGAGACCACGCTCGTCCCTCGATGCTTCAAGTACTTTGAACCCCTAGATTGGAACAAGACCACACTGGACTCAAGTGCACCGCAAGACATCCCTCCTTTCCCCTCTAGTGTCTCTTGCACGGTAAATTAGGTCTCTCACTCTCCTCTTGTATCTTCTCACATTCCTCCGCACTCTCCTCCATTCACCTATCTCCCCCCCCCCTCCCTTTCCCCACTTTCCTCTTGTCTCTACTCTGCAGCACACTCCCACGCACTCCTCCGCACTCTCCTCCATCCGCCTCTCTCGCTCCTTCCCCTTCCCCGCTTCCCTCCTCTCTACTCTACACACGCCCACACTTTTCGCCACACTCTCCTCCATTCACCAATCTCGCTCCTTTCCTTTCCCTCCCCCCTCCTCTCCTCCCCTACCGCACATGCGTGCAGGTGGATGAACTTTTTAAAGGCCCTGAGGGGGAGACGATTGCTTTTGAGTCAACTCAAAATCAGTCCCCTCCTCTTTCCGCCTGCCTGGTTGTTGTTTTACATGCACACGATACATGCAGGTGGATGAACTCTTTAAAGGCCCTGAGGGGGAGATGATGCGGCGTGAGTACCAGCACCTGCTAGAGCCCCTCGGCACCCATCTCCCCTCATCGCCCCCCTCTTTGCCCTTGTACTCCCCGTATACATTACCCCCGTGCAGGTGGACGAGCTGATCAAAAGCCCTGAGGGGGCGATGATGCAGCGCGATTACCAGCGCCTGCTGAAGACCCTCGGGCTGCGGGCAAGCAAGCAGAGCAGCGTTTGACAACCATGAGTGACGACGACCTGCGGGCACGCAATGAGAGCAGAGCAGCGTTTGACAAGTCTGGGTAGGGACGACCCTTGGGCAAGCAATTAGAGCTGAGCAGCGTTTGACAAGTCTGGGTAGGCAGTGAAGGCTCATCCCTCCCCTCCTTCCCCCCTCTCTGCCCTCGCATATATTCCCCATGCACATTACTCACACAGGTGGGCGAACTGTTTAAAGGCCCTGAGGAGAGATGATGCAGTGATTACCAGCACCTGCGAAATACCCTGCGGCAAGCAGCCAGAGCCACCTTTGAAAGGCTTGACGATACGGTAAAGGCACCCTCTCGCCCGTCCTTCCTCCCTCCCTGCCCTTCTATTCCCCACTCACATTTTACACGCAGGTGGACGAGCTGTTCAAGGGGCCCGAGGGGGAGATGATGCGGCGCGAGTACCAGCACCTATTGAAGACGCTGGGGCAAGCAGCGAGAGCGACGTTTGAGAAGTTTGAGGAGGCGGTGAAGGCTCAACCCACCCCGGAGGACAACGGCCCGGGAGGGGCGTACCCTGCTCTCGCCAGCCCCACCCCCAGTGAACGCGGGGGAGGCAGCGGGTTTGCACGGAATGAGTCGCTGCGCGGCGGAGGGATCCTGGGCCGGCTGAAGAAGTGAGTGGAGGGGGGAGGGGGGGGGGGGGAAGAGGTTGGGTGGTGGGAGCTGGGGGGTTGTGCTAGGGTTAGGGCGCAGGGTGGTTAGAGGGGCGTGCCCTGCTCTCGCCAGCCCCACCCCCAGTGAACTGGGTGAGGGGTAAGGGTTTGCACGGAATGAGTCGCTGAGCGGCGGGGAGGTCCTGGGCAGGTTGAAGAAGTGAGTGCTTGGTGGGAGGAGGGGAAGGGGAAGGGTTTGGGTGGTGGGAGCTGGGGGGTTGTGCTAGAGTTAGGCCAAAGAGTCAGTCGCCCCCTTTCACCCGCGCCCTCCCCCTCTTCTTACATCGCTTCTCTCCCACCTGTGACAGAATGATGAACAAGGGGGATGACTCGGTGAGCGAGGTAGCATCAATGTCATCCTCGTTGACAGCAGAGGCTCCACAGGAGACATCCATTTCACCCCAACCCCCTTCACCCCTCCCCCTTTCACCCCGCCCCTTTTCACCCTGCGCCCTCCCCCTCGTCTTACATCGCTTCTCTCCCACCCGTGGCATAATGATGAACAAGGGAGAGGGCTCAGTGAGTGAGGTGCTCAATGATGTCAACGTCGACAGCAGCGGCTCACTCACTCCACAGGAGACATCCATCCATGGCACCCACATTCCCTCCCAACCCCGCGTTGCCTCCTGGCTCTCTCCCTTTTATTCCCAGAATGATGAACAAGGGGGATGACTCTGTGAGCGAGGTGGGCTCGATGACGTCCACGTCAACAGCGGCAGCTCACTCCACAGGAGACATCCACCCCATCACCAGCTACGTGGTCAACTACCTGCTGCTGCTCTGTAACAGGTAAGAGATAGGAGTCGAATGGTGTGAGTGCTCTGGGGGTAGTGCCTCCTCTCCTACCAGCATCCACCCGATCACCAGCTATGTGGTCAGCCACCTGCTGCTGCTCTGCAACAGGTGGAGAGTGTTGCGGGTCAGGGGACGTGGGGATGTGGGGACGTGGGGACGTGGGGACGTGGGGACGTGGGGATGTGGGGACGTGGGGTTGTGGGGATGGTAATACACGTTCTGTGGCAACTCAACAGCACTTCGTGCACCTTTCCCTGCCCCCAGCCCCGCCCACTCCTCTCGAAACCAGCGAGTGTCCCTACTCTTAGATCCTGGAGTGTGTGTTCGACGCCAGCAACTCAGCTACACCCTCCATCCCCTCCCTCTCCCCCCCTTCCCCCACGAACCTCCCAACCTCCCTTTCTTCTCAGTGAACCGCCGCCCTACTTCCATATCCTGGAGTGTGTATTTGAAGATATGAGCAGTCTCCCCTAAAACTGTTCTTAAAATTCCCACATCCACTCGTTTCCTATCCCACTCGTAGTGGGTTGGACGGTTAGAATTCCCTCAAGAACCAACTTCCCTCGTTTTTCACTCGTAGTGGGATCCCTACTGTCAGATCCTCGAGTGTGGCTTTGTGGACATGAATTCCTTCATGTCCCCCCCTCACCAGCGACTCACCAGCACTCCCTCCCCCTTCCCTCCCTCTTCCCTCCACCTTCCCTCCCCCTCTCCTCTCCCTTTTCTCTCGCCCTCCCTCCCTTACCCTTCCTTATTCCCCTGACATCGCAGCGAGCTGCTCTTCTTCCAGATCCTCGAGTGTGTATTCGAGGACATGATCAGCAACGGCAGTGACTCAGCAGCACTCCTTGTCTCTCCCTCAATCGCCTCTCGTGTCCCATGAACCTCCCCTCCCCCCTAACTCCTCAGCGAGCTGCCCTACTTTCAGATCCTCAAGTTTGTATTCGAACACGTGATCAGCAACGCCAGCGACTCACCAGCACTCCCTCCCCCTTCCCTCCCCCTTCCCTCTCCTTACCACTCTCGCACATCCCCCTGACATGGCAGCGAGCTGCCCTACTTCCAGATCCTCGAGTGCGTGTTTGAGGACATGATCAGCAACGCCAGCGACTCAGCAGCCAGTATCGTGACGCCACGTGTGCAAGGCCGGCTGGCCTTTGCTGCGGCACGCATCGTGGACGCCCTCAAGACGAATCTGGGACAGCGGGCGGCGATGCTAAGGGACGACACCCTGGCTGAGCTCTTTATGATGAACAACCTCGCCTATGTTCTGACCAAGATTGACGCGTGAGTGGTGATGTGTGTGTGAGTGCTGATGTGGGTGAGTGCTGATGTGTGTGAGTGCATGGACATGGATGGATGTGTGCTTGCGCGTGTGAACCTAGGGCAGCAGGCTGTGATGCTAAGGGATGAGACGCCGGCAGAGCTGTGTATGATGAATCGTCTCGCCTATGTTTTGACCAACATCGGCACGTGAGTACTGATGTGGATTACTGTATGTTTATGGATACATGCCCACTCAAGCATGCTCTGCTGCCTTCTCTCTGCTGCCTCCCATTGCTGCCAACTTGTCAGGTCGGATGCCGGGCGGCTGCTTGGTACGGCCTGGATCGGCACATATGGAGCGATGGTGGACACCCACCGAGATAGATTCATCATGCACACCCTCGCCAAGGTGGGCCGCTCTTAACTGTTCGTCTTGACTTGAGTTGACCTGAGCTGACTTGGCTTGGATAGTTGCGTATGGGGCAATGGTGGACACCCACCGAGACAGATTCATCATGCACACCCTTGCCAAGGTGGGCGCTGCTAGCTGCTTATGCTGATCGCCAAGGTGATCTTCAACCCCAGCTTATGTCGCGCCGACCCAACTCCTCTGCCCCCTCTCTGCCCCCACTCTGCCCCCACTCTGCCCCCTTTCTGCCCCCTCTCTGCCCCCACTCTGCCCCCTCTCAGCCCCCGCTCTGCCCCACTCTGCCCCCTCTCTGCCCCCTCTCTGCCCCCTCTCTGCCCCCTCTCTGCCGTCCCTGATGTCTAACCCATACCAGTTTAACATGGTCTTCTGAGATGAGCGTCAAGACCCCTCTGCTATGTCCGCCCTATATTTCTCCCTGCTCCCTCTGCCCCTTCTCCTGATCTCCCTACCCTCTCCTCCTCTCCCTACCCTCTCCTGCTCTCCCTCCCCTCTCCTCCCCTCTTCCTTCATACCAGTTTGACGTGGTCTTTTCATGTGAGCGAGCAGAATCCTCTATCTCTAAACCCCCCATACTTATCCCTGCTCCCTCCGCCCCCTCTCCTGCTCTCCCCCCGCTCTCCTGCTCTCCCTCCCCTCTCCTCCCCTCTTCCTTTATACCAGTTTGATGTGGTCTTTCATGTGAGCGCCTAGACTCCCCTGTTTCTACCACCCCTATACTGATCCCTTCTCCCTCTGCCCCCTCTCCTCCCCACTCCTCCCCACTCCTCCCCTCTCCTCCCCTCTCCTCCCCTCTCCTCCCCTCTCCTCCCCTCTCCTCCCCTCTCCTCCCCACTCCTCCCCTCTCCTCCCCACTCCTCCCATCTCCTCCCCACTCCTCCCATCTCCTCCGCTCTCCTCCCCACTCCTCCCCACTCCTCCCCTCTCCTCCCCACTCCTCCTATCTCCTCCTCTCTCCTCCTCTCTCCTCCCCTCTATTCCCCTCTCCTCCCCTCTCTTCCCCTCTCCTCTCCTCTCCTGCCTTCTTCCTCCATGCCAGTTCGATGTGGTCTTCTCAGGTAGGCGCCTGGACTCCTCTGCGTTTTCCGCCCTTCAATTCTACCTCTCCCCTCTGCCCCTCTCTTTCTCCACCCCTCCCCACCCGCCCTCCTCTTCCCCCATGCCAGTTCGACGTGGTCTTCTCAGATGAGCGCCTGGATTCCTCCTCTCTCGTCAAGCGGTGAGTGTGTTTGAAATTTCCTTTTTGACCTGCTCCAACGCCTGTTATGCCTGTCTTGTTTTGAGGCGCCTCAAAACTGCTCCAACGCCTGTTATGCCTGTCTTGTTTTGAGGCGCCTCAAAACTGCTCCAACGCCTGTTATGCCTGTCTTGTTTTGACGCGCCTCAAAACTGCTCCAACGCCTGTTATGCCTGTCTTGTTTTGACGCGCCTCAAAACTGCTCCAACGCCTGTTATGCCTGTCTTGAGTGTACGAGTTTTGAGACGTCTCAAAACTTGAGCGCGTGGATTCCTCCTCCCTTGTCAAGCTGTGGGTAAATTCGAGATTTCCCTGTTCTAATGTGGACCAAAACCTGTTATTGCCTTTCTTGAGTGTACCTTCCCTGGTCAGATGTATGTTCCCTGGTCCCACCTTCCCTGGTTTCTCACATGATCACTTTCCCTCTTCTTCCTCGTGTCGTAAGGCCAATCCCGGCCGTTCTCTACCTTATGCTCTCACCATTCCCTCTTGGCTGTTTCCTTTTCCTCTTGGCTGTTTCCTTTTCCTCTTGGCTGTTTCCTTTCCCTCTTGGCTGTTTCCTTTTCCTCTTGGCTGTTTCCTTTTCCTCTTGGCTGTTTCCTTTTCCTCTTGGCTGTTTCCTTTTCCTCTTGGCTGTTTCCTTTTCCTCTTGGCTGTTTCCTTTCCCTCTTGGCTGTTTCCTTTCCCTCTTGGCTCTTTCCTTTCCCCTCACTGCCAATCGTTCTCTCTTGTTTCTTTCCATTCTTGCCCCTCCCAGCCGCAAGACATTCAATCAGCATTTGAGTCGACTCAAACGCATAAACCTGGAGCACACGCAGCAGCGCCACATGGCGTGGACCATCCTTCCCCCCTCATGCTCTCTCTCTTTATCCTCCTCCCCCTCTCAGCCTCAAGACGTTCACTCCAACATAATCGGGGAGCAGATGCGGCAGCGCCACATGGCGTGGACCACTGGATAACCCGTCTTGAGGTGCTGACAGCAACCCACCTTGGCACTCCTCTCTGCATATTTCCTTCCTTCCTACGCACTCTCCCCCTCCCAGCCTCAAGACGTTCAACATCATCCTGGAGCAAATGCGGCAGCGCCACATGGCGTGGACCATCACCAATCGCGAGCTACGGGCGCACGTTAAGGCCAAGACGCTCTCGGGTCTCCTGGACAAGTACCGGGACTTCATAATCAAGCACGGGTGGGTGGATTGTGAGGGGTCGGTGGGCATGTGACCACGCTCGATCTACTCTCTCAGGTAGAACGCACAGGCCTCCTTGTACCAGGGCTTCATCCTCCTCCCCCTTTCAGCAACATTCTGCGCACCCACCACTCCCTGGATGTGTGTGTGCTGGCATGTGAGGAGGTGGCTCTATTCCCCTCTCTTTCCCACCCTGGTCTCCCTGCCCCTTCCCCCTCTTACTGTAACATCTCACGCAGTCACCGCTTGCTGGATGTGCGCATGCTGGTATGTGATTATGTGGAGACCAATTACCACCACACCCTGTCCTTCCATCCCTGCTCTTCCTCTCCCTGCTCTCCCCTCACCCTCTCATCCCCCTTTCAGCAACATCCTCCGCAGTCACCGCTCCCTGGATGTGGGCATGCTGGCATGTGAGGAGGTGGCTGTATTCCCCTCTTTCCCTCCCTGGCCTCCCTGCGGATCCCCCCCTCACAGTGACATCTTTGCGCTGTCACCGCTCTCTGGAACTGCACGTGCTGTCCTGGCTCTCCCCTTTACCTCATCCAGCCACTCATTTTTCCTTTTTTCCGGTTCATTATTCCCCTTGTGCCCCCCTTACAGTAACATCCTCCGCAGTCACCGCTCGCTGGATGTGCGAGTGCTGGCATGTGAGGAGGTGGAGACAATGCTGGCAGACTCGTTCAGCAGCATGCCCATGGGGAAGAGCAAGTGACATGCACTAGTGGCATGCACAAGTGGCATGCACTAGTGACATGCACAAGTGGCATGCACAAGTGACATGCACTAGTGGCATGCACAAGTGGCATGCACAAGTAACATGCGCAAGTGACATGCACAAGCGGCATGCGCAGGTGACACACGCAAGTAGCATGCGCAAGGGGCATGCACGGATGGAGAGGTGGAGAGGTTGGTAGATGGATCGATGGTGAGGTGGATGGGTGGATGGATGGATAATGGAGGTAGTGCCGTGCATGGGTGGGGGTAGAGGAAGGGGATGGGCACCGGCATTGGTGCTGGCATGTGAGGCAGGGGAGACGATGCCAGCAGACTCACTCAGCAGCATGCCACCGGGGAAACTCGGACGATGATGACGAGGCGGAGATGTGAGATGCCATTAGAACAGGTCGTTGTGGGCATCCATGTATGTCATAGTGGGGATGCAACTACGGGTGAGGGAAGGGCGTGTAAGCATGATCATGGTCGTCAAGTCAGCCCCCACGAGGCGCCTAAAAAGCAGAGCTGCAATCGCACATCCCTTCAGCACTTTACCTAGAGTTCCTGAACTATGTGCATAGAGGTAGTCGGCAACCAAGTCACTTTCTAGAACGCTTGTATGGTTTTTGTGCTCGCCTACAACGGGCCATAGGTGACCAATTCCACATCCACCTACTAAATGTAATTGCCTTTGACAATATCTAATTGTAGTTATGGTGCGGAAGTCTCATATTTCCGCCTGTGGTTGGTGTGCGCAACACTGAACCTGCAGATATCCTTAATCGAACTAGTGCTTATACTGAACCGCATTCCCCAGGTCAACCATATCGTCCATGTCAGCTTCATCTGACGAAGCCACGTTTGCATACTCGTCGTCATCCAGCTTCACAGGATTGGACAATCCGCCTTCCTTGTGCCATTCGCACCTTTCACGTGGTCTTACTTTCCCTCCGCGCGGCGGTGGGCCTTCTGCCAGCGTCAGCTCATTTCGAGCTGCTAGATCTCGCGTCGCTTGAGAGTCTCAAATTTCCAATCACACATTTTCATTGTGCAGTGCCAATTCGCTGACGAAACAAATTCAGCGGAGGGGACTCCACTGGTTCTTCCAGGACGGCGGATTAGCGGCGCTCATTGCATTGCTGGTTGGAAACTAGACACATGCTTGCGCGCCACACCGCACCTTAGCGCACCGCAGCGCACCTGCCTTCGCCCCAAGAAATGTCAGCCGCCGTTCCTCCCTCCCTCCTCTTTCTTCATCTGGTCATCCTGCCTCTCAGGTTGATTCGTGACCATCGATTGATGATCCTGAGCGCAATGCACGACTCCGATCTTCTGGCCCTACATTCTCTGGTTCTCCTGTCATCTTCCATTCTCACCACCAACGCCACAAATTCGCCCTCAGTGCCAACCACAATTTCAGGTGCGACTGTACAATCCCAACCAGGCCTTACCCTTCCTCTCCACTCCACCAACCTGGTTTTTCTTAAACTTCTTCCGAACCGAGCATTCACCGTGCTGTACCATTTGTTGTCTAGTATACATCGCAGTAAATCTTACCAGAACGCGTTCAACCTTTCTCAATGGTCGACCCTGAAGCGTGTTCATAAGAAATGTTACACACCCTAAGCCCTCTTGGTCGCTTTCAAGCGAGCCACTCCCCATCATTACGCAGCCTTCAACCGTCTGGTCGACTAACTTCATCATTATCGACACACCTAGCTGACGACGAAGCCTGAGACTTGGAATATATCACGTGGAGTACTAGCTGAGAGGGTGTTCATATCACGTGGAATACTAGCTGAGAGGTACTTATCACGTGTCGTGCTCACATCAGGCGGCCGCGTTTTAGTTCAGGAGCTATCAGCCGCCGACGGGAACGTCCTTTGCGAAGCGGAAACGGGCCTTCGCCGAGAAGCGTGAAGCGGTGTCGTCGATTTCTGGTCTGCTCGAGCCACGTTTGCGGTGAATCTTCCCAGGATCCTGGAACGCGATCCGCGAAACGGGGTTACAAGCTACACGTCATGCGATAAATTGCAACCATTGGCGAAAGTTTGGCGACTGCGTCACGTCGTTCCGGCTGCGACTGCACTTGACGTCGAGTCGAGATGCCTTCGATCAGACCGACGCTCAGAAGGTTTCGAGCCGCTCGAAGAGCATAGAAGGGCTTCCAGAACCGCACCCCAGCAAGTGATTTTTGAGTCGACTCAAACACACCCCAGCCTCCAGAGCTTCGAGAGCTTCGAGAGCTTCCAGCGCATTGCCTTTCGCCCCCCCGTACTTGTCTCGACCACAACCGCATACTTCCAAAACTCCTCATTTCACGGATCGCTGGAAGACTGACGGACGGACGTGCTTGGCTTCGTCCGACAGAAGCTGCATCTGAGTCGTTCATTCATTCAAGTTTCTCGTGCAATCCACGTCTGTCGTTTGCGTAAACGCGTGTACAGCCCAAAAATTCAGCGCGTTTCGGTCACCAAGTTACCAAGTTACAAAGCTAGCATCACCGTATCAGAGCCAGCTCGTCTTAGAGCTGCTGGACGGAAACCTCCCAATTCAGTTCCTAATTCTTTTGAGCACCACTCAAAAGTCTCGTCAACACCGTTTGCCGACTCGGACTACATCTTTCCGATAGCAATGGCTGCTCGGATCAACGCTTCCCCACTGGCAGTCGCACAAATGCGCGGAACACTCTCCGCGCCCCTCCGCGCCCGCCGTGTCGCGTCTACCGCGGTTCAAGGTTCCGCGCGCATTTCCGCGTTCGGAAAATCCCGCCAGATGCCCTACCTTGACGGCTGTTCGCTCCCCGCTACCTTCGCCAGCTGGCTAGCCGTCAAAGCCTCGCCGCCCGCCGTAGGCTTCGTCGTCGTCGCGAATCTGGATCGTGAATTCGCCGTTAATTCCGGCGCGGATGCCACCCGGAACCCTGGAAATAGCTGGCGGAAGGACGGCGGCCACCGCGCAACCACAATCCGCGCGCAAGCCGCCATACTTGCGCCGCCACCGCCGGTTGTGGAAGAGGCGGAAGCAGTGACGGACACGGGGGGAGGGGGAACAGACGGCGGATCGTTCAGGGGCGGGAATGGGGAGGGCGGCGGAAACAATGGGGATGGGCGGTGGTCGGGGGGAAGCGGAGGCGGCGCGGGAGCTGGCGGGGACGAAGGGGGAAGGGCGGACTTCGGCGCGCTCTTGGGATGGCCGCGCGTGGAGGCGGTTCTTCTGCGAAAAGGGGTTACCCTTCCGGAAGATATGCTGTTACACGCGCGCGAACACGGCATATCGGAAGTGATGCTACAGCGGTTCATGGATCTGCAGAACTCGGCCCTTGGCCCCGCTATAAGCAACTGCGCGGCGCTCCGCAACCGGCTGCTCATGGACCCGTCGTTCCTGTTCAAAGTCTTCACGGAGGTGAGCTGACGGAGGTGAGCTGACGGAGGTGAGCTGACGGAGGTGAGCTGACGGAACTGACGGAAACAGTCTGACGGATTTGAACTGACTGCTGTTCAAGATCTTCACAAGCTGACGGAAGTGAACGGACGGATGTGAACTGACCGATGCTATCCCGGGGGTCCCCGCTTATCCTATCTTGTCGCTCGGTCAGATCGCCATCCCATCGACTGCGCCAAAAAATTCTCCCCTCCCCCCTCCCCCCCTTCCCTCTCCCTCCGCTTGTCTCTCGCTCAGATCGCCATCCCGTCGACTGCGGAGGCGCCAAAATGTTCTCCCCTCCCCCTTCCCCCCCCCCGCTTCCCTCTACCTCCGCTTGTCGCTCCGGCCAGATCGCCATCGACTGCGGATGCGCCACGTTCGCGGAGGCGCGGAAGCGCTAGTCTGCGACGCCCCAAACATCCCTCCCATTCTCCCCCCCCTCTTCCCCTTCTCCCTCCTCTCCTCGTTCCCCATCGCCGCTCGGTCAGATCGCCATAGACTGCGGATGCGCGACATTTGCGGAGGTGCAGAAGCGCGGCGACGACTTCTGGAAGGAGTTCGATCTGTACCTCTCCGATATGCTCGTGGGGGTCATTCTGGGCGGCGCTGTCGTCGGCTCGCTCGCGCCAGCCGCGAGGTTCGCCACGTCAGCAGGTGGTGGGCGGTTGCCACGAATCTTGCCGCGCGGGGTTTCTGCTGCGCTCTCGGCGCTCCCAAGCAGGTCAGTACTGTTTGTTGTCAGCAGAGGCGGAAAATGTTCTTGGGAGGGGCTTTGTCTGTAAATAATGTTGTCATCAGCACTGAGGGGTTAGAGCCAGGAACAGGTTAAGGGTGTGTGGGTATGGGCATAGGGTTCTCGAACATGTATGCTCAGATAGGTTCACCCATGTATGTGTTGGTTTTTGAACTTACCCTTCCATTGCGCTCCTATTCCCCTCCCTGCTTCCCCACCCCCAAACCCCCCACGTCCCACTCTCCCCTGACGATAGTGTGTTTGAGGCATCCCTTCCTGGCCACAAGTTTTCGGCTGCCCAACGAAGCGTCACCCTGTTTGTCAAGGTGATATATCTGCCCGCGTAATGCAGCCCCTTCCCTTGCATCACCCAAAGCCCTCTCTGTCCCCCCTTGCACCCATCGATTCCCCCTCTGCTGCCCAGTGAGGGGGATCCATGAGCCAGATCCATGCCCAGTAAGTCTTCCTCTCCTCATTCGCTTCTGACCTCTTCCTCCTGCTTTCCTTTCCTCCTCCTCTGAACATCTTGCCAGAGTGCGGAGTATGCATGCAGGATTTGGCTTTGCCTCGGGGCTTGTTTTGAGGTGCCTCTGAGCTGACGTTCTTTCCTCCTGCCTTCCTCTCTGCCGTCCTCTGCCCATCGCGTCAGGGCGTGGAGTATGCAGGGTTTGGCTTTGCCTCGGGGCTTGTGGGGCAGGGGATCGCTAATGGCGTAATGAATCTCAAAAGGTTTGTCCTGATTTCAATTATGGAGAATCACGTTCTCGCTGTGCCGGGGTCAGATGATTTCTGCTGTCTCTGAATTCTGCCAATTCTCCACTATCACTGCTGAAAGGCGTGGTGCAGCCACATGGAGTGTTTTCACGTGTACTGTGAGAGTTCATATAATATGCTCCTTTTCCCAACGCGCTATCCCTTCCTTCAGAAATCATCCTGAAATATCCGCTGTCCTCCTTTTTGTTCCAATCCTGTCCAATCGCAAGCACGATTTCCGACCTTAGTCAATTATCATTCCTTTCTTTCATCCCCCTCCCACACTCGTCACAGCAACATGCGCCAGAGGAACGGGGAGTCTGCTCATACCGAGGACAGCCACGTCAAGCCACCCCCACTCTTCAAGACAGCCCTACTCTGGGGAGCCTTCATGGCAATTTCCTCGAACCCTCGGTACCAGGTCGTCACAGGCTTGGAGAGGTTAGTTGATGGCTCGGCGGTGGCTCGGAGCCTCCCATGGCTGTCAGGCTCGTTCACGGTGGCAGTGCGATTCGCTAATAACATCTATGGAAGCAGCCAATTTGTGGATTGGGCACGGCTGGCAGGCGTGCAGTGATGCACAGTGCACAAGTTTGGCTGCAGGTTTTGGGACGTCCACCGGGTATGCAGAGTAGGAGTTATGGCTGAACAGCGCGTTGATTTAGGTGGACCAGGGTGCAACATTCATGTTTTAGGTAGGGTAGCGTAATACGGAGGAACAAGATATATATGGCCATCTAATGCAGGTCGCACCACATGATAATTTTTATACTTAGTGTGGGTAGTT